GTCTATTGTATTAAAATTTGATCAGATTTGGTGTAGTTTCTTTTAATCTGGTGTGGTCTAGCTTATAATTGAAAACATTTAAATCAAAATATTGTAAACGTTCTGATTTTTTTCTTTGCGTTAAGTGAAGTCTCACCAATTATGTATCACTATTATTATATTATAATAAAAATAATTATTACTTCGCATTATCTATATCATCATCATCATCATCATCATCATCATCATCATTATTGATTATTTTTAATTGAAAAAATTCCAATTACTCCAATATTCATGTAACTCTTATTTTTTTAATGTGTATGAAGCATTAAATGTCTAACTAGAGGGAAAAACAAGACGTCACACCTTGTTACTTTGTATTATATTATATTATATTATATTATATTATATTATATTATATTATATTATATTATATTATATTATATTATATTATATTATATTATATTATATTATATTATATTATATTATATTATATTATATTATATTATATTATCTTATGTTATGTTATGTTATGTTATGTTATGTTATGTTATGTTATGTTATGTTATGTTATGTTATGTTATGTTATGTTATGTTATGTTATGTTATGTTATGTTATGTTATGTTATGTTATGTTATGTTATGTTATGTTATGTTATGTTATGTTATGTTATGTTATGTTATGTTATGTTATGTTATGTTATGTTATGTTATGTTATGTTATGTTATGTTATGTTATGTTATGTTATGTTATGTTATGTTATGTTATGTTATGTTATGTTATGTTATATTATATTATATTATATTATATTATATTATATTATATTATATTATATTATATTATATTATATTATATTATATTATATTATATTATATTATATTATATTATATTATATTATATTATATTATATTACATTATATTACATTATATTACATTATATTAATTTAGATTACATTACATTACATTACATTATATTACATTATATTATATTGTATTATATTATATTATATTACGGAGTATATTATATTATATTATATTATATTATATTATATTATATTATATTATATTATATTATATTATATTATATTATATTATATTATATTATATTATATTATATTATATTATATTATATTATATTATATTATATTATATTATATTATATTATATTATATTATATTATATTATATTATATTATATTATATTATATTATATTATATTATATTATATTATATTATATTATATTATATTATATTTAGGGGTGGGGAAAAATACCAAAATTTTGGTATACCGGACTTACCATATCGAAAAATACCGAATTTACCGAAGTGTTTGGTATACCAACACTTTTAGTACGGTATGATACCGTACCGAATTACTTCGGTATGATATCGGTATATATTTTGGAAATAAACGGTATACCGTTATACCGTCATACCATAATTCCAAGCCTATAATTTCTTTAAAATTATAAAAATAACTAGAAACACAACATTAATTCAAGGATAATGACTTTATATCCTTGTTTCTTGAATTATTTATACTTTTTGTTGGAGATCGATGTTATTTCAAATATATTTATGTTGTTTAAATTATTATTTTAGCAGAATGTGTTGTTATCTTCATATATCATCTGTTGAAGTATCCATACATATTTATAATATTTTTTGTTCAAAGTTGAATAAAACACAAATAAGTTATCATTGGCATTTTATAATTAATTTCATTAATAATTTTAGTATATCACTATTAACACTGATTTTCCATATTTCATTTGACATATAATAATTTGATATTAAATCATGATAATTTACCGATACCGTAGCTTACCGTACCGAAATTTTGGTATACCGAAATAAGGTATATACCGAAATTTAGGTATGGTAACGGTATATATTTTTGCATACCGAATGTTTACGGTATGGTAAAGGTATGTGATAAAATCTTTGGTATACCGTACCGAACCACCCCTAATTATATTATATATATAGATGCCAGAAAGTGTAGTTAAAAAAAACCAATATGACGTCGTGAAAATATTAGCTCGGTCCATCATTTATCGCGATTCAACTAATGGAGCCTTTGTTACCGTTTCTACTCTAAAAAAGTGTTTTTCAAAATTAATTTAGCGAAACTGTTTAATAAAATAATTTTATAATGTGTGAGAAAAAATGCTTTTGGATAAGTAAAACTTAACGGTATTTGTTAAAAAAAGTGCCTTTTGTACATTCAAAGGTAAAAAAACACGGAGTAGTTTAAACTTTAAAACATCCATTCACTTCTTCAAACTTTTAGAAGCAAGTTTGAAGAAGAAACTAAATTAAAAGTGTTTGATTTAAAAGAAAGTATAACATGAAAACATTTATTTCATTTTTTATACTAAAAACTGAAAAACTTTTTTTAAAAAAAATATTTGGAAGTTATAAAGAGCGGTAAAAGTAGATGTCATGAATTCTTTGTAACCAGTAGGTTGGTAAGGATGTTTTTACTTGAACTGAAATTTGTCGAGGCCAGGTTTGGTCTGGTCTCTTTAATTCCAGTTTGGTATGAACTGGTCTGGTCTGGTCTGGTAAAAATCCGATCTCTGTGTATTTTATAACTATGAAAGTCTGGTCTGGTCTATTTAAGTCCGATCTGGTCCGGGACTGAAAACAAATCAAGTAAAAACATTCTAACTGCAAGCTTCTCCCTTCACCAATTAAAATAATAACTAGATTTTAGTTTATAGCTCAAGTAACATTTGATCTCATGCATTAAATTGCACAATACTCATAATAAGTAAAATAAAAATTAATTTCTTCATCGTTTTTGTTGGGATTTTTGAAGAGAACTACTAGTATTTAGCTATTAATCATACTAGTATTCCACCCGTGCGTTGCACGGGGTGTAAAATACTTATATTATAAACATCAAGAGAATATAGTTTATCAAGAGAATGAGTAAGCATCAGTAAATATGTAATAAAAAATATGCAAAGTTTAATAACCACACAAGCTACAAATTATTGAAAACTTCTTTGTACACAACATTTTTTGCTGTTTTTTTCTGATTTCCCTCGTCATCACATATCACGAACTTCAAGCCAGACGGACTTGTCACCCTCGAAACTGCAACATATAACTGTCCATGTGTAAAAACAGGACGTCGTAGAAAAACATCCACATTTTCTAAAGATTGTCCTTGACTCTTGTTCATCGTCATCGCATAGCTAACCATCAAGGGGAATTGCCTACGCATAAATGTGAAAGGGAGCCTCACATCTGATGGGGTTAAACTAATCCTGGGAATAAGAAACTTCTCACTTGCATTAGTTCCAGACATCATCTGTGCCTCAATAATATGTTCACCAAGTTTTGTCACTAAAAGTCGAGTACCATTACACAAACCGGCCGAGTGATCTATATTCCTCATGAGCATCACCGGTACACCAACTTTTAGCTTCAACTCGTGACTTGGAACACCAGAACATTTTATTCCGTTAAGGAACTCTGGAGAATGGATTTCTTGAAGGAGCTCACTGTCTGAGGTAGAGGAACACGCTGAATCAGAACTGAAATAGGTCTTTTCCTCTGAGTTGTTCTGTAGCAACATGAAATCGTTGATCCTGTCTACCTCATCAATTGTCGGTGCAAGGATCGCTCTCCCTTCAAGATATGAGATGTTGTTCATGTTCTTCAAAAAGTCTGGATAAGTAGTGTTGACAATAGATTCAATGGGATCAGACATTACTGGAACATGAAAATTTTCTGGTATATCAATTTCTGCTTCGCCATCATCGCCCTCTCCCAGAACACCATCACCGATTTGCAGTATCCAATCGGCAAAAAGCTTCAAAATACTCGGATTGGCCAATTCATTTGTGAAGTTCTTGAGTCTCATGTTTTTTGTTAACTTCAACACCGTACAATACTGCCACAAATGTGATGCATTCAAAGATGCTTGAACAATATCCTGCCTTGTGCCCTTAGGAATGACAGGCAACACTTGTCTAAAGTCTCCACCAAAAACAATTGTTTTTCCACCAAATGGTAATTTTGGATTTCCATCATGACAGCAAGAAAGTATATCTCTCATACTTCTATCTAGAGCTTCAAAGCAATGCCTGTTGATATTTATATAAAAAATATAACGATAATACATTAGATTTAGTTATTTCAAAAATATTGCTTTTTAAAAAATTGATTTAAATAAATTGCAACAATATAGTGTCGTGGGTTCGTGGTAACTAAAGTCTAAAAATTGAATATGTTAACATGACTAAATAAAAAATATGTTATAGTTTATGACGTTTTTGGTGCATTTTTTTAAAAAATTTCTGAATGAAAATTTAATGTTAGATAACTAATATCAAGAATTGGAAGAATAAGATAATCTGGACCAAATAATTCTACTAATAATTGTACTTATAATAGTAGTTTAAGAAGAAGTTCATGATGTTGATGATGATAAAAAACAATATTAATAACCAAACTAATAATATTACATATAATAAAAATATGACTACTACTTTGAACTTTAATAAAATTGCTTTGCAATTTAATGGAATAGATAGTAATTAAGTTTGTTGTGGGCAAATCATACCTATGTATCATAGGAGCTTCATCCCAGATAATCAACTTGGCCATTTGAATTAATTTAGCCAATGGGCTACCACGCTTTATATTGCAGGTTGAGTCTTCAGTAGAAGTGAGTGGAATAGCAAACCTTGAGTGTGCAGTACGTCCTCCGGGAAGAAGAAGTGATGCAATCCCACTCGATGCAACATTCAACACTATTTGACCTCGTGACCTTATTGCTGCTGATAAAGTTTTCCACACATATGTTTTTCCAGTGCCACCGTGACCATACAAAAAGAAGACACATCCACTCATCCCGTCAATAGACTCCATAATTTTATCATAGACACTTCGTTGTTCTTCATTCATGTTTTTCAATAATTTTGCATGAGTCTCGGCCATAGCAGATTTGTCATACTTCAACTCTTCATGAATTATGGTGTCTTCAATGGAAGGAATATCAGATTCAGGTGGCATTGGAATTCCCACAAAATCTCGTAGTGATCTGCACCTTTTCCTCAACAGCTTCTCAATCTCGACCAAGCAATACTTTTTCACTTCATCTGTGCTCAACTGATACTCTATATAGATATATTTTATTATTTACATTTGTAATATTATATAAACTCGTGCACAAAGACTTAGTTATAACTAAATCAATTAGTCATATAATATCCCATTGAAATAAATATTTTAATTCATTTAAGTATTTATTTAAACAATCCATAGTCATCTAATAAATAACATACGTGTTCCATACTAATTCATTCCTTTTAATGCATCAAAACAAAATATAGAACACGATAGAATAATTTTCATATTTAATGTATGAAAATAGTGTTAATTGCAGACTATAAAAAAATGTTAATAATTTACATCCTAATAGACTAAAATCATATTATAAGAATAAAATATAAATTAAAATTGGTACTCTATATACAAATATTTTATTATAAATATTTATAATATGATAAAAATTCATTCACAAAAACTTAGTCAGAAATGAATCAGAAAATTTAGTTACATACCAGGGTCACTGAGATTCCTTCTAATGTTATAGAGTATATCCTCTGAAAAGTATTGCCAGCACTTCTCCCATACCAATTGTGGCTTTGACAACACATCTGACAGCAGAAGAGTAACAAACAAATTACGCAGTGCATATGCTGATGCCCAATGACTTGCCTCAGTGATCCCATCAATATATTCCTTATCATCTTTTAGCAATCCACGGGCATAGCAAGCATCCCTAAAGCTGGGAAATAATGTCCCATTATAAGTGCGCAACTCTTCAAAGGATGTAGCACCCTTAACAACATTCAGTAACGTTCTCAAATAGAACTTTTCTCCTGCTCCGGGACGTACAAAAAACACGCGACCAATTGAAAAGCCCCTTTTCCTTGGCACCCACTCCTTGGTTTTTTGTTTCCAGGTAAACTTAGTTGGAAACTCAACGTATGTCAACTCTCGTGCCTCTGGATATTTTTCATTTGCCTTCATCCAAGCCAAGAATTTTGTGTCCTGATTTGTGCATTTTCCAAGAACAGATTCCACCTGTTCATCCGGGTGGTAGTATACTGGTTGCTCGTCTGGCAAATGAAAACTAAGACGTTCCACCGACACATCACGATAATGGATAGGATACCCAAATATTCTCCATGCAGCCTCACATGCCGAGATGTAGCGACAATCATAGTACATTTTAATCTCGTCAACTTGTTTGTTTTTGGAGCCATCTACTGCTTCGGAAAATTCAACTGTGATACGGTCGTCACCCTTATTTATGTACTTGAAAAGATATTTGACCGACCTTGTTTGGTTACACCACTCAACATTTATGTGCGCACCATATTTCAGCAGCAATGTACGATTATGTGCAACCACATATCTATTGTCCAGAGCAACCCCATTCTTCGTGACACTTCTCCCATCAAGTCGCCGTCTATAAACTGGATAGCCATCCCCATCAATGGTGGTTTGCTGAACAAAACGTTTCGGGAAGTGTTTTGTGCAAATATTTTTCTCCATGCATGGTGCTGACTTGTTTGCTGGACCGCATTGTACTGTAGTGAGGCCTACTAAAAACATGAGGCTCACAAGGATGCTCGACCAACCGGATGGACCGACTATCCAATCTTTTGCGGAGTGGATTTTGAAGATTGGTGACAGAGCTTTTGCTGAAAATCAAGATGGAGAATCACTCATTGATATACCAGACGCTACAATGACGTTTGATCCTGTTGAATCTATAGTTCAAACTATTTATCTTGATTTCTTAATCCAGAGTGGTTTGATTAATTATCTTTATTCCAGGGCTATTCTTGCTCCGATCATAGATGAGGTTGATAAAGTCAACGATTACATGTTGAGCCAGATAGATTCGGAGTTAAGGACATACCTAAGCTCAGATTCAGCTTCTTCATCTGACTCAGATAGTAATGATCTCTTGCATGAGATACATTCTCCTGAATTTCTTAATAGTATCAAATGTTCTGGTTTGTCGATTCATGAGCTGAAGCTGAATGTTGGAGTTGATGTGATGCTTATGAGGAATATAGATCACTCATCTGGATTGTGCAATGACACATGACTTCTGGGCACTAAACTTGGAGCTCATATTATTGAGGCTCAGATGATGCATAAAGAAAATGCCGGTGAAAAATTTCTTATTCCCCGCCTTACTTTGACACCATCGGACATTAGTCTCCCGTTCACTTTTCAACGTAGACAATTTTCGTGCTACGTCAGCTACGAAATGACCATTAATAAGAGCCAGGGACAATCATTGGAAAAGGTCGGGATCTTCCTCCGTCGGCCTGTTTTTACACATGGATAGTTGTACGTGGCGGTCTCGAGAGTAACAAGTCCGTCTGGATTGAAGTTTGTTATATTTGACGAAGAAGGGAAACTAACGAAGTCAGCGTGAATGTAGTATACAAAGAAGTTTATACTAATTTATAGTTCTCTTGCTTTACATACATGCATACTCATTGCTACATATATTGCATCATGATTTGTACTTAATTTTGAGCATTATATTTTAATTTCGTATTAAATATGAAACTTATTTTATTTTATGCTTTAAATTGATTATTTTGTTTTAGTTTTTAATTTTATGTTTTGAGTTAGGTTAATTGACTATGAAATTCTTTAAGATAATGTATGATTTATCCAAACTTCTTCACTCCCGTGCGTAGCACGGGTGGAATTACTAGTAGTACTAATTGCAAGATCAATAGAAACCATGCATTGATTTTGACTACACTAGAAGCAATCATTTTAGTGTTTAGGAGGCTAGGTGTTAAGACATGAGGTTTCATCCTAAAAGGTTAACATGATAAGAGGAGTATCCCACAATCTTTTCTTGTTTTGAAAAATCCACATTTCGGTCACATAAAATAATTGTATGTTTACACACGCATTGTATACATAGAGATTGGTTTGCACATCAGTTTCAGACGGTTATCAGTATGCTTTTGACACGAAAATTAATGTATGTGTTCACAAGCGGCTTCGATGTGCCAGCACACCAATTGTATGTGCTGACAGGCAGCTTCTTTGTGTTAGCACACCAGTTGTCCGTGTCTGATATTTGTGTATAAGTTGTGTACAAGAAGCATTATTGAATGTATATAGATGGATTATCACCATCATGATGACATAAACAAATGTAGTAGGAGATTGCGTCGTTGTATCCCATAGATGCAAGCACTTGTCATCTCCAACACTTCCAAACGTGTTCATACTAATGCCATTCCAAGCTATACCTTTAATAGCACAAAATGCCTCAAATTGCTTCAAAAGGTTAATGGTTGTTGGCAAATTCGAAATATCAACCACTTATCGAGAGATAACCACTTATGTATTTTTCGATGATATACCGTAGCACGTGGGTATGTGGCTGATCATGTTCCCAATCTACCAGAAGAGATAGAAATGACTAACATAAAGTATTTATATCCTATGATAAAAGATGTGATCCATTAATGAAATACGGACCAAAAGAGAAGATGAATGATATGAGGGGAGGAAAAAATGTAGATAAAGAGAAAGAAACAACTAACATCTAGAATACTCAATTCTTTAGTAAAATACGAGTAATATTTTTATTTAAACTTTGAGTTAAAAATTTGAGATTAACATGGATATTGGATCCTAAGTAAGTAGTGCAGTTGACAAATACCCCCGTTTTACATATATCAAGTATATATTGTGATGAATGTATTTAATTGGTGTAGAATCTTACCATGTTCTAGAGAAGCAAAGTTGTCCGTGTTCATAAGTCCGTACGTTCTACATGTTCACAACACACTTAATAACTAGATTTTAGTTTATAGCTCAAGTGACATTTGATCTCATGCATTAAATTGCACAATACTCATAATAAGTAAAATAAAAATTAATTTCTTCATCGTTTTTGTTGGGATTTTTGAAGAGAACTACTAGTATTTAGCTATTAATCATATATTTCGTTATTAATAAAATTCGCCATATGTTTTAAACATAAATTGTTTACAATTCAACAAATTTAACTAATTTAGTTGATTTCTTCACAATTTCACCAATTTAATTAAATTCAGCCTACTCAGTTATTTTCAGCATCAACAAACACCTCTTGATAATTTTACTACGGAGTATATGGTTCCAATATATTTTTAGGAAAATTTATAACCTATTTGGTAATACTAAAATCAGCTGATTCAACTGAAGAGTCAAATGCATAAATGGTACCTTAACTATTGGTAATGTTGTATTTTGGTATCTAACTCTTAAATGAATCAAAACGGTACCTTACCAACTATACATAAATGTTTCGAATTGAGATTTTATTCAAACTTCTGACAAAAAAATCATACGTGTCGGCCAGAATTTTATGCGTAAAGTCTACTTCACCTTATTATGCCCATATGATCACTATAGGGTGACTCCACACATGAAATTTTGATCGTCATGAAGGATTTTTGGTTGAAAATTTGAATAAAATCTCAATTCGAAACATTTATTTATAATTAAAGTACCATTTTGATTCATTTAAGAATTAAGGTACCAAAATGCAAATATGCAATATTACTTATAGTTAAGGTATCATTTATGCATTTGACCCTTTTATTGAAATTTATGAAGTTCTGACTGAATTGGCTAATTATTTATGAAAAAGTTATATCTATAATGAAAAATTGATAGTAATAATCTCAACTATTGGCGATCTGCTCATAATAATCCCAACTATCGATTATTTCAGAATAATCTCAACATTAGGGACCTTATGCCAATAATGGTCTGACGTGACTGGCTATAAATAAATTTCTATAGTTTCTAAAGTGGATGAGAAGAGATATAACATGTAATCCCTATAAATAATCCCAATTTTTAATTTTTACGCTTAATTTCTATTTAAAATTCACGTGTTATAATAGGTAATATCCAGTCATAGACCATTACTGGCGGACGATCCATATAGCTGATATTATACAAAAATAATCAATAGTTGGAATTATTGTTAGCGGACCGACAATAGTTGAAATTATTATTTTCAATTTTTCCTATCTAAAATATATTTTATTGATAAAAAGAGAGTTTTTTTTCGAATTAATGTTAATTAATTAATTAATTACGAAAATAGGGTTGGGTTAAAAGTATTTACCAAAATACTGCTGGTTTAACCAGGGTCGGGGAAAGTCGCCCAACGGTTGGTCGCCAAACGGTTTGGCGACTTATAAGTCGCCAAACGGTTTGGCGACTTATAAGTCGCCCAACCGTTGGGCGACTTTCTCTTTAAGTAAAAAACGGGTTCGGTTCAGCAAGACAGAAGACTTCATCCCCAAATTGAAAGCAGCAGCAGCAGCGAGCGACCAAGGACGCAGGACGAAGGACGATCGACGACTGAGGCATTTACAACCCCGGCGAACCTCCATCTCCGGCGACCCCACTCCGGCAAACCTCCATCTTCATCTTCAACACTCTACTTCTTTCTTCTAGGTAAATCAAACTCCATTTCATCTCATTTTGAACCTTAGGGTTTTGAATGTTCAAATTTTCGAATTTTTGGATTATGAATTGATTGTGAATTCAGTTGTTGTGAAATGTGGATATGTATGAAATGTTGAAATTTGATTTTAAATTGATTGTAAATTTGAATGTGTATTTTGACATTTGGGCATTTGGGTAGACTTGAATGTAGCTAAATTTGGCTATTGAAAGTTAGACGTGAATGTAGATATCAAAATTTTGGTAGTTTCATATTCAAATGTGAATTGTTTTTGAATTTTGACTTTTGGATATATTACAATTTTGGTAGTTTTATCTATTGAAAATTTGATTGTGTTTAAAGTGTGTATATTGATGCCTACTCATGAATGTTGGACAATGAATTGTTATTAGAATATGGATTTCTCAAGCTTCCCAATCATATGTCATTGGGGAGGAAACTATTATGAGGATGCTGGCCAAATATGCCTTGAAGGTGGTAGAACCAGCTTTGTCATGGTTTCTCGTGGCGCTTGCATGCTGGAGATCCTTCAAAAAATACATGCAGCCACAATGATTCATCCTAGCCGTTCTTTGCGGTTGAAAATGAAATTTCCCATGAACGGGGGAAAGTACATGCTTATGCCCCTCATTGATGAGCTAGCTATAACAAATATGTGGGGCATAACTCAGATGGAAGATATGTCGACGCTTGAGCTATACATTGAGGAATCCTGTGACGCCTATGGTACTCAATCAACATCAAATGTTGTCGTATCTACGCATGATGTCAATGCAGGGAACTCCTCAAAGGCTCCTGTACTGGACATGGTTATACAGGAAGATGGTAGGTATTTGCACAACGGTGCATCATTTGTGGATGGGCAGGGAACTGATGATGATGCTGACGAGAACATCAATGGTGATGACATGATAGAATCTGATGAAGATGATGGTGATACTGTCACGAAAACAGCCCCGTCTAGCCATTTTACTAGAATTTATGATCTCCCTGAAGGGTTTACTGATGCGTGGATGAGTGGATCAGGTGAGAAAAGGTTTACCCCCGATGGTGAGTTTGAGGTCGGTCAACAGTTTGACAACAAAGAACAAGTCATCAATATGGTGAGCTTGTATTCTATCAAACGGAACCAATTTTATCGGGTGATAGAGTCCGATAAATACAAGTGGGTGGCACAATGCAAAAGGAAGAAAGAATGTGATTGCCCCTGGAGAATACGCGCCACAAAGAACAAAGGCAACCTTGACACCTTCACAATTGTGCGTTATCCTGGACCTCATGCTGCTACGTGCGTTGGCAACACCGACACTACCGATCACGTGGCTTTGACTTCAGATTTCATCTCTAAAGATGTGATAGACATTGTTCGCAGTGATCCTTCTCTTAAAGTGCATGCTATCATTGAGATGCTGAAGGAAAAATATGGGTATACGGTATCATACCGGAGAACATGGATGGGGAAGCAAAAGGCCATAGCAGAAATATTTGGCGGTTGGGAGAAGTCATATTCTGAATTGCCCCGTTTCATGATAGCGCTCCAACATTCAAATCCTGGAACTATTGTTCAGTGGTACGCACCCCCCAATACTCCCACAGGTTATATGCAGTTTCAAAGAGTTTTTTGGGCATTCAAGGCATCAATACATGGTTTTAAGCATTGTCGACCCGTACTTACTATTGATGGGACACACTTGTATGGAAAGTACAAGGGTACATTGCTCGTGGCCATGGGTTGTGATGCGAACAACCAAATAGTTCGCATTTGCACGTCGACGACAAGGTACTAGCGTATGTTGGTGCTGCAGGTTTTTATACTCTTCACAGATTAGTGGCTACTGTGCCTCTAGATAGAGCGCTTCTCACTGCTCCACTTGAGCGTTGGAGACAGGAGACGCACTCATTTCACCTCCCAGTTGGTGAGGTGACAGTGACATTGGGAGATGTTGCTGTACTTACCGGGTTAGAGGTTCATGGGAGAGCTGTTACAGGCACTGCTTGTCGACAGTGGGTGGATGAGTGTGAGCGGTTGTTAGGTATCCGCCCCGTTCTTAGGACTGACCTTCAGGGGTCATCTCTGAGGATGCCATGGTTGAGGGAGCACTTCAAGGTGCTTCCTCCCGACGCTGATGAGGTGATGATCCAGCAGCATGCTCGGGCTTATATATTGATGATGATGGGAGCCTCCATTTTCGCTGACAAGAGTGGAAATGAGGTTCAGGTGCTGCACTTGCCTTTGCTAGAGAGGTTTGATGTAGCAGCATAGTTCAGCTGGGGTAGTGCCACCCTGGCTTACCTGTACAGACAGCTTTGTCACGGCTGCCAGAGAGGGAGCACAGAGCTTGGGGGATTTTTGCTACTCCTCCAGATTTGGTCATGGGAGTATATCCACATTGGCCGTCCCATTATAGTCGGATATCATGGCATTGATGGACAGCCACTGCCTGATGAGCCTCCACGTCTTCTAGGACCTCATCATGTACGGGGCGAGGACCCTCTAGGCCGTCGGTATGTTTTCAATCGTTTGTATTAATGTGAGTGTATGTTGTGTGTAAATACATTAATAATATCCATATTAATGATACTGTTACATGAATGGTTAGATGGCTATATGCTGGTCTATCTCGCATGCCATCCGCTACTGAGCTCGGTGTGTACAGGGATGCATTTGATCGGATGTCTGAGGACCAGGTATGGTGTGGGTAGTATAACATTAACTATAACATGTAAAGAAAATCTCCTAATTTTGTATCTTTATGAAACAGATTACATGGATGCCGTTTACACCTGAGATGTTAGCAGAGTTGCCCCCAGCTGGACGAGAGCATACTCACATATGGCGAGCATGTGTGCCGTTGATATGTTTTGACATTGTTGAGCTTCATTTGCCTGATAGAGTCTTGCGACAGTTTGGGTTTGAGCAGGTGGTTCCACGGACTATCGACACTTATGTTGAGCTGCATAGGCTGGATAGGCGTTGGAAGCATACAGAGGATTGGGCTCTCAGACATGTCCGATATGTGACTATGTGGGAAAGGAGAGCTGAGCTAGTTGTGGCCGGGACACCGACATATGTGCCATCTGTTTCAGGAGACTACATGGGATGGTATTACAGCATCACTCGTTTGTTTGTGTCTCCTTCGTTCAGACTCCCTACTCATCATTATCAGCCTAGTTCCTTAGCTTTGCATCTTACGGTGAGTATATTACTAATTAGTAAAGTAAGTCATTTTATTTATGTAATATTTGTATATATTTCAATGTAAATGTAATTGTGTTTCACATTTCAGACACGAGCTTTGCAGCGCATACATCAGCGGGCTACTGCCACAGTGACTGATAGTCCTGATGTGGACTTGTATGGACAGGCTCTCACAGGCATTGCGTCCTTGTGTTCAGATGTGTTGGGGCGAGTCGACTACGGCCATCTTATACACATGCCCCCATCTCAAGAGATGTCATCCACGTCTAGTGCAGCGGCGGCTTCATCATCCCAGACGCAGCATGAGAGAGTGGTTCTTCAACCACGACAACGGCGTAGGCGTAGACAGGAGCAGCAACATCTCCATGACGAAGCTGACGATGGGAACATGTAGTCTGTCTTTTGTATTGTAGTTTTTCTTATGCAGTAGATGTATTAGGAACAATTTACAACATTTGACGTATTTTCTCTTGTAAAGTCTTGTATGTTGTCTTGATGTGTTCGAGTCCGAATATTAGATGATTACTTGTTATGAATGTTGGATGATTGTACTGTGTTATACCGATTATTTTCAAGGTGTTTTTTATGTTGATGAGAGGGGGTGTTATGTATGTGATTGAGAATACGTGTGTTGTATGTTTTATAATGTGTTTTATAATGTGTTGTATCTAGCTCGTAACACTTAAACAGGAGAAGAGAGACCTTATTTATAGCAAACAGATGAGTCCGGGTTGAATTGGGGCGAAAAATCTGCTGAAATGCTGTTTTTGGACCTAGGCACGATCGTGCGTCCCAGGGTACGCACGATCGTGCGTGGCTGGCAGTAGCTGCTCGCCTTCAACCATATTTCAGGGGTAAGTCGCCCAACGGTTGGGCGACTTATAAGTCGCCAAACGGTTTGGCGACTTATAAGTCGCCCAACCGTTGGGCGACTTACCCCTGACCGTGGTTAAGGCCCAGCAGTATATTGGTAAATACTTTTTTTCCAGAATTATTTTCGTAATTAATTAATTAATTAACATTAATTCGAAAAAGAAACTCATAAAAAGAAGTTATATGCAGAAATATAGCTAAAATGATCTCCTACAATAACTTCAGCTAATACACCTAAAAAGTAACTTCAACACTATTTTATTGTTATTATAACACGATTCAGCATCCGAAATTAAAAGTTAAGTATTTGATAAAAATGTAGATTGAAATCCATTTGTGTGAATGGATTAGAAATTAAAAGGTACAGGGTAGAAATTTGAAGATAAAAAGTTATCCCGTTGAAATTCAATTGTGCGTCTTCTCCCTTGCGTACTTATCCACATATGCATCACGGACGGACTATCAAAATTGCAGACAATGATTGTGCCTTAAGACTGTTATTTGACGGTCCGATCCAGTCAATTTACGAATCTATGGCCAGCATGATTATCATCCAACTGTAAAGCGAATAATATTAAAACCCAGTTAAAGAAAAGATCTTTCGAGCCAACAAAACAAAACAAAACAGAAATCGACAACTCCTCAGCTAACTCACCTTTCTCGGTATCTTCTCCATTTCTCACCCCCAACTGGACCAACAGTGAGATTCCGGAGAAGAATGCCTTCAAGACAGCCTCTTTCTGCAGACCCAAGAACACTCAGATTGACCGCCATCTTCATTGCAATCACAACCTTATCATCTCTGATCATCCTGTTTGCAGTTTTCTACTTTGGGTATTATTTATGGTTCTTTTTAGTGCACCGTTCCAGAACCAGCCCATTTGATTCCAACGCGCCCCTGGTGAAGCTCCACAGGTTTTCCTACAGAGAGCTGAAGTCAGCCACTCGTGGGTTCAGTGAGTCCAACGCCATAGGGAAAGGAGGGTCTGGGACTGTGTTCAGAGGAAGCCTGAGAGATGGGAAGTCGGTGGCTGTGAAGCTCTTGCACTGTGATTCTCCCCAGAGCGAGAGGGAGTTCCAGAATGAGCTCCAGGTTCATGGAGGGATCAAATCTCCACTCATAGTTACTCTGCTCGGGTACTGCGTGGAGAAAAGAAAGAGGCTTGTGGTGTATGAGTATATGCCTAACAGAAGCCTGCAAGAGTCTTTGTTCTCTGAGACTAATCTGGTGGGCTTGGATTGGGGGAGGAGGTTTGATATCATTCTAGATGTTGCAAAGGCGCTGTCTTTTTTGCATCTTGAGTGTGACCCGCCAGTTGTCCATGGGGATGTCAAGCCCAGCAATGTGTTGCTGGATTCCGAGTTCAAGCCGAAGCTTTCGGATTTCGGGTTATCAAGATTCAAGGCTGAAGAAGGGTTGGAGGAGTTTGGTGGGGTTGATGTGTTCAGTCAGGAAATAGAGAGGAGCCAAGACCTTTCTGGGAATTTTGGGACACCAGAGACTACTACTGTTGGGACTCTCACTCCTCCTCCTCGGGTGGAGGGGGAGAAGGTAGATTTTGCAATGGCCTTACAAGCTTCTTCTTCCTCTTCCAAAAAAAGTGCGAAAATTTCGCAGAATGTCAGAGCTCTAGGATTGGTGAATTCGATGAACTATAATGCCATGTTTGAGGCTGACGAAAGGATTAGGAATGCAAAGGGGAAAGAGGTTGAGAGAGGCAGCTGTGAGAATGGGAACAATTATGACGAGGAGCTACTAAGCAGCTGCAGCATTGATCATAGTAAAGAGTTGGATTTGAGTATTCCTATGGGGGGCGAGGATAATATGGCAGGTAAAGCACTATGGGGTAGGGATTGGTGGTGGAGACAGGATGGGAGTGGCGAATTGTGCAGCAAAGATTATGTGATGGAGTGGATTGGTAGCCAGATTTGCCCTTCAGCCAATTCTGCAGCTTGGGATAAAGTTAAGAGGAAGTGCATCAATGAGAAACCGCCAAGTCCAGAGAACTTGACGTGTTCTAGCAAGATTGATGAAGTGAAAGAGAGGAGTATGCCCGGGAGTTTTCAAAAGGAGTTCGAGATGGAAAGATCAAAGAATCCAAGGAAGATGAAGGAGTGGTGGAAAGAGGAGCACCTTGATGAACTATCCAAGAAGAAGAGTGGCAAGGCTAATAAAAGGCTTAATAAATTGAAGTGCATGAGCAACGTTGTCCCACATTTTGGTCCGGGAAAATGCTTTACATTCATAAGAAGAAGTAGAGGCAGACGTTTTGTGGCGCATAAAGAACATGCAGGCGGTGATCTGGAGGGAGAGTTCAGTTTCAGGAGAGGATGGAAGAACAAGACAAAGAATTCCCAATCTGTTGGTGGTGGGAGTGATTTGTGGAGTGGAGATCCTTTCAGCAGGGAACTAAGCAGCAATACAAGCATGAGAGGGACATTGTGTTACGTTGCACCGGAATACGGTGGCTGTGGGGGTTACCTAATGGAGAAGGCTGACATATATAGTCTGGGAGTCCTCATTCTTGTGATTGTCTCGGGAAGGCGGCCTCTCCACGTTCTCAACTCGCCAATGGAGCTTGAGAAAGCTAACTTAATAAGCTGGTGCAGACACTTGGCTCATTCAGGCAACATATTACAACTTGTGGACGAAAGACTAGGAGATGAGGGGTATAATAAGGATGAGGCAAACTTGTGTATCAATTTGGCCTTAGTCTGCTTGCAGAGAATGCCAGAAGTTCGACCTGATATTGGCGACATTGTTAAGATTCTAAGAGGGGAAATGAGCTTACAATCTCTCCCTTTCGAGTTTTCGCCATCTCCACCGTCTAAATTGCGCAGCAGATCAAGACGAAGACAGAAGATGAATTCTGAATTGGATTCCAAATAACATTAGTGTAATCTGGAAAATTCTCCTCCATGTCAGGCTTGTTTTTGGTTCCAAAAAAAAGGAATCTCTGTTAGAGTTTAGAGTGTTTTTTTCTTTCTGTACATAACGCCATTTTTTAAATAAACGTGTTCTTGATAACTCGAGGAGTCATTGTTTTTACCAGCACTCTTGATCAAAGAGTTGAATTCCACATTTACCGTTCCAATTGATGTCGTTCCAACAGCTCCTAATCAATTGGTGAAAGAAGCTAAAGGCTCCAGTGTACAAAAGGCCAGGAAACCATCCCAGTTCCGAACCAAAACCGGACCGGGATTGGCTTTTAAACCGGGACAGGCAATTCTAAGAGCACTAGAAGTGCCGACAATATCCCATTCCAATTAAGATTCCTTTGATTTTGGGACCAGAACTAACCAATTAGGAGGTGGACCATATAGTACAGATAGCATCTATGAAGTAGGAAGTGACTATGAAAGCAGAGTATAAAACTTTTGTATTTATTGATTACTTGTATAATTTAGCTTAGACAGTAAAGCACATGCAAAAAGATGAGGATAAGATTGATGCTTTTCTGCATTTCAATCACTTTCTCAAAGTAATTAGGGTTTTAATACTAATGACAACATCATATCATGGTTATCAAAATATTAAGAGTAACTGTAGATAAATGAGCTTTCAGGTTTCAAGCACGCAAACACTCGAATGTGCCTTCATTTAAAAAACTCTTTAAAACAAAACTCTCCAAATTAATATTTACTTTGGGAGAAGGACCAAAAATGACATCGAGGTTTTTATTGAATCTCGGATAAGACATTTAGGTTTTTTGTGGATCAAATAAACACAAAATCTAACTTTTACCCTAATTTTAAACCACCCACTAACTTTCTGTTCTAACACCCGTTTCCCGTCAAAAGCCTTTTCCTCTCCGATTAAACACCACCACCCCAATATACATCCAACAACCTTTTTTTTTCTTTCCGGCAAAAAAGGCTGTTCAAGGTCGATGTGCCCCTTTAGTTCATTCGTTGCCGGAGTGGTAACGATTAGAATTCGTGTTGGGCTGAGCGAGGAGAGGAGGAAGACGATTCTTTTGTTTGACTTCGCACCAGGGCTCTTCCGAATCCCAGACTTTCGAGTACGAGCTGCAACGTTGGGATATCTCTGCTCCGGTTGTGGTTGGCGGTGAGCAGGATGTGGTTGTACTTCTTGTATGGGATTGGTCAATTTCTAGTTGCCGAAATCCCTGAATTGATTTCTGGCTGTAATGTGTTGTTGATTTCTTGGTTGAACATGGCTGAGTTCATACTTGAGGGGAGGTCTGGAAGCAAAATACCTGGGAATAGGAAATTGCCGACTGCTAAAGTCCCTAATTTGATATTTGGGTCTCAACCATCTGTGTTCAGTGTTGGACGGGACTCGTGTGAGCCCAGGGGTGTTGTCCTCGTACCAATAGGAGCGAGGTTGTGAGTGGTAGTAATCTCCAAATTGGTTGGAATGGTGGTTCTCCCTTTCCCTATAATAGTACTGTTGTTTGTTGAATCTTTGCTCCTGGTGAGGATTCTGGCGATGTTGATGTTAAGTAAAGAATGGGCTACTGCTACTGCTATACTGGAATAAATCACTTGGTGGACTTGGGGGTTGTTTGGTTCATTTAGCTGGGTAACGGTAGTTTGAATGGAATGTTAGTGGATGGTTAAAAATGAAGGTAAAAGTTTAAAATTGGATTTATTTGGTCCATCAAAAACCTAAGTGTCATATCCGAGATTTATTAAAAACGTTAGTGTCCTTTTTGGCCCTTATCCCTATTTACTTTTCTTCTAAAAAAGTGTTATGTAGTAGGGAGTACTATTTTACGCTTCCTCGCGTTTCTGGTTGTTTTACGAAAATTTTAATAAAAAAATTGTGTGTAACTTTTTTTCCAAAAATAGTCTGTGTACCGGTCCAGTCCAACCCAATACCCGGACTCCACACCTTGGCGTAAGTCCTCCCATGGTGAGTGGATAGTAGCCTTAGTGAATAGTAGATCAATTTACTGGGTTCGTGCCTCAAAGTATATTTATGTTCTTCCAAACATTTTGTTAAAGGTTTTGTTGGATACTAATTTATGAACACATGCATGCATGATCTTGAGTTGGTGGATTTTTTGTACTTTGAACTGTCCGGGCAGTAGGTAGGGCGTAGGGATGACAATTGTTATAGATATAAATTGAGAATTAATATTTCAAAAATGATCTTTGTACCCACTCTTATACCCACTTTTATACCCACCTATGTTTGTAAAGTGTTTTTTTCTATGAACTCCAATTCACAGACAATATTTTGCACAAACAAAAAATTGCCTGTGAACCACGTTCACAGACAAAAAAAAACCTTTACAAACATAGTGGGTATAAGGTGAGTATAAGAGTGTGTACATTAAGCATTGTTGTTAATATTTACGTTACATCTTTACTGGATGTGGAATTGTGGATACAATAAATTTAGAGAGATTTTGTTTTGTTTTGTATACTTTCAATCATGTTTATTAGGTGATAGAAAAACTGGATAAGTGACCCGATAAATACATGCCAAAAAGTACAAGTACATAAAAATGTTTCCCAATATGCATCTACATAACGTCATAACCTTAGTCAATCACCCAAATTCTCATTCCCCAAGATAAGAACATACAATTCATTGTTAGTTCTACAATGTTAGAAACTGCAAAGTCTGTAATGCGTCCGGTATATGGTAAATAGCTAAAAATTACGCTCCCTCCGTTACATATAAATTTGGAAAAATAGTGGAACGTCAAAAACTTTGAATCATTACATACTCAAACTAGGCTGGGCACCATGAAATACAGCCCAACCCAAAGCAGAACCACCGCCGAAACAGAATGGGCCAGTGGGGAGGCGGCGGAGTTGGTGCTGGAGTGGTTAGCAGGGACGGCGGATGTAGCAGGCGGAGGGGCAAGGGGATGGACAAGAACCGAAACTTTCATGCCATTAAAGCACTGACCAAGCCCACAAATGAAGTAATACCTCTTGGCCTTATCAAGTAGAATGAAGTCTTTTCCACTGCTCCAGTTCCCCACCGCGCCTTCGGTGGTGCAGTTGTCGTACCCACTCTGGTTCACTTCAAACACATTGTGCTGCATCTTCGTGTACCTGAAGGCTGCAAAAACCAATACAATTTGTTTAAGGACTGTTTGCAAAACGATACATGCTTGGGTAGAAAACAAGGAAGAAAATATGGGTCAAATTTGAGCAAAACAAAAAGTTGTTCAGCATCATTATATTGTTCTTTTATATTAGTTGGACTTCATTTATTTGTTTACATTTATCTTAGTTACCCACTAATGGTTCTCTTCTTCTATAAATGAAATCATTAGATTTCTATTTCCTTACCTTCTTTGATAAAAAACTAACTTAATGAATGTATTAAGTTTTGAAATATATAATTCTATGTCCTAATCAAGAACCTCTCATATTTTAAGAGGTTCACAATATATCTTGAAAATTTTAAATTATTTTGTTGACTATAATTTAAAATATTTCAATAATTCTCATTTTGTATGACATTTTTGAATTTATCAAATTTTGGTAAGATTATCATACTTTAGAGTCTTTTAATGAAATAATTACACATATATAACTAAAATAAATGTTAGTTTACAAAAATGTGACCTCTTAAATGTAGTGACTATATTAGTAACTTAATCATAGTAAGTAGTAACTTACAACAACATCCAAGCCATTGTTCTAAAAGATTTTGGGTTCGGCTAACATGAATCGATACATGATATCGGAGCGAAAAGGGAAAAAAAGATAAAGTATGATAAAAAAAAATACTCCTATTATATATAGATCATGAGAGAGTATTTGTTTTCCTTCGGGAATGACTCTTTCATTTTTATTTTTTACCCCTTCCAGTCTTTCACTAGAACTATCAGGTGTCTAAATATAGCCTTAAAAGTTACAGGCAGAAATAATGGAAAAAATTCATATTTTTACAGCAATACTAGTAAAATAACTTGACACTACCTATGCATATGGTCAACGAAGAGCCCCTAAAAATCTCAGGGATATTAAAAAAATGGTCTAGAGGTGGTTAGTGGTGGTCTCTCTTCCAGCGGTGGGGCGTCAACATGATTGTGACCGAGTAGTGTGGTAAAAAAAGTTCAATTTTGTCATTTTTTTTGAACTGGATCAAACTCTTCCGGAAATAAGACTCATAAGTTAGAATACTAGAGAGATTTACCTAAATACCGGGCGTTTTCCCTCAACAGTAATTTCATTTTTTACAGGAGTACAATTTGAAAACATACCCCTATTTAAATCGGGGAAGGAGAGGGGTAAACCAAGAATAGAAATTCCTGGTTAGTTTATTTAAATAACACTTCGCTAACCCCAATTGATTTCCTGTTGGACTAAAAAACAAATTACAGGAGGATCGACTAAGCTCTTATACAATATTAGATGGAATTAAACTCGACTGAAAGGATATTAGAATATTTCAGAAAGATTGATCTATCTCATCGGCATATACATTTGATTCAAATATAACAAATATGTGATGTGGATAGCTAACAGAATCATCCTTTTTTCTGCTTTCGAGTAACTTGGCGTTTTGAGGGAGCTTACAGATAAAGTCATTGACGTAGAAGGTTTGGTTGTTGGCCCAGAGAGTGTAGTTGATGCCGGGGTTCCATCCCTTGTTGACGCCGACGATGTGATCTGTGGCGGAGACGGCGGCGATTAGGATGAGGAGGAAGAGAAGCACAGTGAAGGAGGTGGACATGATTGAGAGTGGTGCGGACAATTGGGACGCAACCTGTCAGTTGCTTTGTTGTCCAAACAGGGAGTATGGAGGATAACTTTTTTTTATTGCTTCTCTATCCAATGATTTTTCTGAAGTCATACCTATTTTTCATGGGATATCCGGATATACCCATTTGTCTATGAAAATTATTACTCCGTATTATCTGTATCAATACTTTGACTTTTGTACAATGCACGCACCCACTTTTAATTTATAAATTTCTTAGAAGAATAAAATTCTGAAAAATATTTACAAATCTATGCATTGAGAAACAAGAAGTTCAAACTATTTATAAATTATTTTTTTACATTTATGATTGTTATGAGTTTTAGAGCCCGTTTGGTGACTCTGTTTTTTGGCTTATTACGCTTATTAGTCAACTTTTTAATCAAAGCGGGGTAATTTTTGATTTCATGTGCTGAATTATGTAATAATAAGAAAATGTAAGGTTGAAGTTATTTTTGTGGCTGTATTGGCTTAAGTTACTCTAGATGACCATTTTAGCTATTTTTCATATAATTTTTTCTTTATTTCATTAATAAAGTATACTCCGTATTTTTAATATACCTTATACATCAATCAGCAGAATCAGCCAATACAGTCACTTCATCCAGAACATCATAAATTTCAGCAGAATCAATCGATTAAGTCAATTTCGGAGTTATCAAACGGGTCTTAAAGTTTCTATTTAGATTTTTTAAATAAACTTATTTAAAAAAAATATGAATAAAAATTGCGGGGTAATTCATATGGAGTATTATAGTATAGTGTTGCAATCACTTAAATGAAAAAATTGAACATAAATTACTATAGTTACTACTATAACCAACTAGTCACTGCATGTTAGAAATCATTTTTATAAAAAAAATATTTTAGTCAAACATATGTAATTACTTCTAGAGATTTTTTACAAAAAATATTACTGAAATGAAACTCATTTATAAAAATATGATTCATAATTGCAATACTCCGAATGAACGTATTCACACTCTACTTTGACCATGATTTTTTACTAACATATATAATCAAACTATTATGTACTCTCTTCGTCCCCTTTTAAATGTCCCGTTTTACCATATTGGGATGTCCCTATTTAATTGTCTCATACCTTATTTGGTAAAGTTTGTGTGGCTCAAAATCATTCTTACTTTATTCTTACTTTATCAATTATTATCAACCACACAAACCCACTTTTCTTAAAACTCGTGGCACCCTCTTCCGGGACATTTAAAAGGGGACTGAGGGAGTATAAAATATCATTAAAATTGTCTTAATTTGAAGTTTCAATTTTTTATTGTTTATTACTGTGTAATTAAACATAATTACCGTCCAAATTGTGGGTTGGTAAACGTGAAAGCCTAATTGTTGCAATTCGAAAAGAACGGACGTATTAAAAGAATGGAGGTAGTATCACTCAATGGTGTGCACAAGATGAGTAAGACATGTCAATTTGTGCATAGACTCTAATAGTGTTAACGTAGTTTTTACTTCTCCTTGCTAAGGAGAATAAAAGCATTCATCGGCTTGATCAGTCATTGGGGATGAGCCACAAGATCCCTCTGTTTGACTATCCACAAGAAAGGAAGCTCTTAACACTAGAAACCACCCTATCATCGGCCCTCCAGCACCCCCCCCCCCCCCAAAAAAAAAAACTAATCTATGTTTTATAGGTATGCAACTTAGTACACACTCACTTCTCAATAATATGTTTGACTGCTTTAGTAAGCCATTTTTCAATGTGTTTGTACTTTGTAGTTTATATCAATCCCTTTGAAGAAAGTAAAGAGGTCTGGAATGAAATTATAAAGGAAAACTTAGGGATCTTATTACAAAAGCTAATACCAAAACTTTCAAGATAAGTTTGAGTTTTTGAAATAAGCTGCTCCTAATTGGCAGAAGTAATTGGAGGAACCGGTTTTTAGGAGGAAAGGATATGTAGCCCTGCTCAGAACCCCAAGTGTAAAAGTTGATTGGAAGGAAATGGTAATGAAGAATAAGGCTACGCCTCGTGCTAGGTTTATATTGTGGCTAATCTTATGGGGTAGAATTGCTACTAAAGAAAGGCTTTTGCATTTTCATATTTTAGTTCCTGATACTTCTTGTATCTTTTGTGGAGTTCTATTAGAGACAGTGGACCATGTGGTAGTTTGAATGTCCAGAAATTCAGAAGCTGTGGGCAGGTTTGTATAGATGGTTGGGTAGAAGATTTAATATTAGTAGTTGGGCTCAATTTCTCCCTATATTATGCAAGGATGTGAAGGGGAAAAAGCTGCCAAACAGAGTTTTGAAAGCCCTGGCTACGGAATTACTCTATTCTATATGGCAAGAACGGAATCGGAGAGTTTTTACTGGTACACATTTGGAGTTACATGTTATCCTTCATCGGGTAGTACAAAAGGTTATTGGTAGATGTGCTAAGGATGTGGAGATTGCTAGTTTCTTTAATGGCTTTTCTCATTATCCTATGATTTAGTCTAGTAATAGCTTTTGGTGTTTTGGATTGTTTCCCCGGATGTTTAGGGGTTACTGGGCTTGCCCTTTTGCTTTTGTTAAGTGAGTTGATTGTACTGATTGATAATTGGAAGGAATAAAATAAGCTTATTTTGTCCAAAAAAAAATAATAATAAGCTGCTCCAACCAAACAGTGCTTAAATGAGAAGTTCTTCTAAAGCTAGTTACAAACCATTTCTGTTGTGCCAAACATAGCGGTGCATTCTTTAACAATTCAGAATTAGTTTTTAAACTGATAGCACAATTCCTAATACAATTGTATCTAGAATGCTCAAATTGATTGGACAACATCCCACAGTTGTTTTTTAGCAATTAAAGTTGAATACTGTGCAAAGTAATGTAGACAGTTTAACAAATAACTGCTTGATTATATATATTGAGAAAGATGCATTTGGACTCGTTAATAAACAAATCCCTATATAAAAATTTCCATGGATATATCTAGGCGATTAAAATAAATATGGCTAAAGAAAAAGCTAAAGTACTTTTTAAAAACTTCAAAAAAGTAAATATATATGTCACTTCATTATGTCAGTTGCACCCCAATGACACCACCAGTGACAATGGCCACTTCACCGCCACAGATGCCTCTGTGATTGGTTATGGCCGTTTCCGGTGACATTTTCAGCAAATTCTTTCAAAAAATCAGCAAATTTTAAATTTCTATTTTTTATTTATTTTAAGCAGCCCGGTGCTCAAAGGCATCCTCCCCGCAAGGTGAGAGTCCGGGGAAGGGTCCCGCCACAACGGTCTATAACGGGCAAGCCTTCCCCTATCACCTTTTTTTTATAAAAGGCCGCTCCCAAGACTTGAACATGTGACCTCTCGGTCATACATCACCTTAAACGGTTTGCCAAGGCTTCCATTCAAATTTTAAATTTCTATCAACAAACAAGAAGATGACCATTGACAAACTCTTGAATTACATATATCAGCTGCAAATAATATTTGGAGTGTGATAGCATACCTGTTTTTTTTTGCACAGCTCCATAGTTCCTATAAGAATGCTAAGTGTTGGTTCACAGAAGAATGGCCTTAGTATTTCTCTGAATATAAAACCCCGTGGCTTCAGGATATTGAAGAAGCCGTCAAACTCTGGTTTGTCTGTTTTCTCTTACTTCTCTTACTATGTCCCTTCATCTTTATAAGCTTCTGAAGCTTCAGGTTTTCATCTTCAGGGTTCATTTCGGAGTATAACTCTTTAGCCCTATATGACATTCCACACTCCAGGAGCCTTTCAACCATTAAAGTGTAATGAGCAGAATCAGGAATTACCTTATACGATTTCATCTCAGCCCATATCTTCAATGCATTTTCAGGCTCCTTCAGCTTGAAAAACCTATCAAGTACTAACAGAAATGTATCCTTGTTTGGACCAAGCCCATATTTTCTCATATCATTTAGAAGCTCAAAAGTTTGTTCGATGCTCGAAGCTCCAAGAAATGCATGATAAGTGACAAATGTTGGACTTATAGAATCCTCTATCATCATAGCCAATACCTTTCTTGCTTCTTCCAACTTGGACGCTTCACATAGAGGAGATATGATTGAGTTGTACGTGACAGAATCAGGAAGCAAACCCATGTTTTTCATCTTGTCTACAATTTTCAAAGCTTCTTTTAGGCAATTCTCACGGGTTAGTATATATACCAAAGAATTGTAGACTGAATTCCCAGGAACCCAGCCTCGTTTTTTCATTTCATCGTAAAATCTCAGAGAATCAAATAGATTTCCTACTTTAGAGAAACAGGAAATCATGTATGTGTAAGAAGCTTCATTAGGCACGATACATTGTTTAGACAGTTCTCGCCATACCCTCTTCGCTTCAAATATGTCAACCACAAGGTTACACCATCCATTCAGAATGATGTTGAAGCCTTCGATTCCTAATGGGAACAGCTTCTTATTGACAAGCATAAATTCTTCAGCCTCTTCAATAAATCCATGTTTACAAAGAATATTCAAGAATGAAAAGAACACTCTCTGATGAGAGGACAAACAAAAATTTTCCATTATCTGAAATGCCCGTATAGCCTTGTCTGGAAAATTTGCTGCAGCATACCTTTGATATTGTAAATGTAAGAAACTATATGAACTGTTTAAGCTTTATCATTGTTTCCAGCAACAAATGAATTGATTATTTCTATCTAAGATACAGTTTGGCATATTGTGAAGTCTGTATACAGAACAGAACTAAAATATATTACAAGTTCCCTTGATTAACTGATTAGTCATTTTGAAATGCAAGAGCTTCAGAACCAGTGATGTTTTCTTTTACTATGTCAGTATGTCACTGAAGAAAGTGCTTGTTGGTCCATTCAAAGTCCAGATGTTATATTGCACTCATATGGTAACTTGTATGCAATTTATTTACACTCACAACCCATGTATAAATTAACCAGACACTGTGTATATAATGAAGGTTTCAATGTATGAGAATGATCAAGATTAAATTAGGTGCTATAAATTCATGAAGGGCAGAAATTACCTATCGATCATAATGAGGACGGCCTCTTGGACGTCAATAGACTTGCGTGCAAGGTCAGTGATCAAAGTCCATGCGGTACTGAACTTTTTATGGTTGCCAAGAACCCATATCACCAAGCACCGCGTTTTTTCAGGAACGCAGTCCCATTTCTCACCCCACTTGAATAATAAATAAGCCAACTGCCACCGGTCTCTCATATCCCAAATCGCCAAAAAGATCAAATCTTGGCTTGGTTTTACAGCACACTGGTCAAGTAATGCAATGGCTTCATCTCCGGAAGCACAACCCTTGGCCTGTTCGAGCACCCCAGTGACTCCACCAACATCAACTTGGAAATTTTCGGTTAATCTCTTTACGTAATCTTCAAAGTTGATGATTTCGTAATCCTGTAAATTTTGTTGGGTACAAAAGTTGCCATTTTGAGGAACACGAGAACGTTGATTGCAAGGCGTTCGACGAAATGCTCCAAAGACATGCCGCTGCTGATGGCCCTGAACAAGAGTAGGTGAGGCAGGCTGAAGAGATACCGAAGTCAAGATACGAGGCACAAAATGTAAGGAGAGCGTTTTATGCAACATTCGAGCACGATGAAGCAGCCGTACCATTTCACTTACGAGACTGAAGATCACACAAGAGTAATCAACATTTATGTCGGTTTTCCCTGAGTATGTACTGACTTTCCCTCAGATTGAGCCGTACTTCGGATAAAGAAAGACTAGTTCGAGCCTTGTGTAAAAAGTACAAAGCTTGGTTCACAGCACATATCGAGTTCGAATTTTATTCCAGATTTCTCTATTTTAAAAATTAAGAGTGTTGGTTGAATTCGTTTTATTTGGTGGAGTTTTATTGGTCTGGTTTTAGATCATTCAGTTTTAAAAAAGATGAAACAAGAATTTTACCTAGGGGCGGTTCGGTACGGTATACCTTATATTTTTTCTCATATACCTTTGCCGTACCAAAACTTTCGGTATGCATAATTTGCATACCTTTACCTTACCGAAGTTTCGGAATACCGCATTTCGGTATACCGAAGTTTCGGTTCGGTAACAGTACGGTATCGGTAAATTACCGTGCATGTCTCCCAATACAAAAAATTGTCATAGACTAATGAAATATACTAAACCGTTATTACTAGCGACATATTAAATATATTATTAAAATGTTATGGAATACAATTAATAATCTATTGATGTCAATTCAATATTGAACAATAATTATTATCAGTATATTTAAGCAGTTCAACATGCCACATTAAAAAGTAACACATTCTCCTAAAATAACTTGAACAATATAGATATAATTAAATCAATAGTGATCTCTAACAAAAATAAATAAAACTATTCAAACAACATGAATATAAAATCATTTATTCCTAATATGATATTGTGTATTTAGTCATTTTTATAAAAACTTAAATAAGACTTCCGAACAAAGTTGTGTCTCGACTCACAGAATCCCTATGTAGATACACTTGTCACATAAGTGTATCTCTCTTCATTTGTCTACTACTTAGTGGCCCAGTCATCACGACTTGCAAGCTCTTGGAACAAGATTGACTTGTTTCTTGACATTTGTACATTACTCATTGGTCATTAAGGTTAGCGTAGTAGAAGCCTAGAAGCCTATAAGGTTATAGTGGGTTTGAGAAATTGGACCTTTATTTTTGTATTTTTGTATTTGTAACTTAAGTATTAATTTTGGGCTTCAAAATTGTAATGGATTTTTACAATATGTTACAATTAAAAGTAATTGTTGAGTAGGGATTCGGTACGGTATTATACCGGTATACCGTGGTATTAGAAAACATTTACCGTTATCGTACCGAAAATGACGGTATACCAATATTTCGGTATTTTCCGGTATTTTTCAGTACAGTAAGTGCAGTTAGTCATGGACCCGGTTCGAGCCGCCCGGCCCAGGACCGGCCCGGCCCGCTACTGTGCGGAACCGACCCGGTTTTCGGGTCCGGTGGGGGGGGGGGGCGGGTCCGGGCTCGGGCCTTGTATTTGGCGAACCGGCCCGGCCGGGTCGGGCCCGGGTCGGGGCCGAATTGATTTTTTTTTTAATTTTTTTTCATATTTTGGGGTTACCCGGGTTGGGCTTGATGGTTAGGAGGGGTTTGGGGGGTGGGTGTGCGGGGGGAGGGGGTTAGGAAAGCAACAAAAAAAAAAAAAAAAATATGACCAAACCGGAGGCCCGACCCGGACCCGAACCAGACCCGGTGGCTACCCGGGCCGGTCCCGGGCCTTCCTTCCCAAAAAAAGCCCGGCCGGGCCCGGCCCGGGTCCATGACTAAGTGCAGTATACCGATTTTTTCGGTATTTTTGCCCACCCCTAATTCTACCACACAACTTGGGTCGGTTTTGGTCATTTTTTATGGGTCAGGGTTTTATTAGTAAATTGGTTGGTTAATTAGTTTTAGGATTGGTTTGCAAACGTTTTAAAAAAAGCACTTCTCGGCTTTTGGCTTTAAAAAAACACTTCTTTTACCAAACACTACAACTTTTATTTTTCTCGGCTTTCGTGTCAAAAGTGCTTTTACTTTTTCTATTAAACAAAAAACACTTATTTTACCAAACACTTCCAACTTTTACTTTTCAAAATCACTTTTTTCTCAAACACTTTCAACTTTTATTTAATCACTTCTCCCCATTTCATCAAAAAACACTTTTTTTAAAGCAGAAGTTGTTGCAAACAGACCCTTAGTCGGTTTCTGTTTCATTATTGTAGTTGTATTGTTGTTGTAATAATTATATTTACAACTATAATTTAAATTGTAGTTGTAATTGTCATTATAATTGTAGTTGTAATTACAATTAGAATTAGAATTATAATAATAATAAGGGGGGATTTGACTTTGCACCCCATATTTAGGATGATATTGGACTTTGCACCCCATTTTCAAAAAACTTTTATTTTGCATCCCATTATGAAATTTTTCTTCACAAATGTTATATGATAGGGTGCAAAGTCCAATATCACTCAAAAAGTGGGGTGCAGAGTCGAATTTTCCCTAATAATAATAGTAACAATAGTAATAATAATAATAATAATAATAATAATAATAATAATAATAATAATAATAATAATAATAATAATAATAATAATAATAATAATAATAATAATAATAATAATAATAATAATAATAATAATAATAATAATAATAATAATAATAATAATAATAATAATAATAATAATAATAATAATAATAATAATAATAATAATAATAATAATAATAATAATAATAATAATAATAATATAATAATAGCAATAATAGTAGTAGTAATAGTAATACTTTCAAAAATTAGTAATAGTAATAGTAGTAGTAGTAGTAGTAGTAGTAGTAATAATAATAATAATAATAATAATAATAATAATAATAATAATAATAATAATAATAATAATAATAATAATAATAATAATAATAATAATAATAATAATAATAATAATAATAATAATAATAATAATAATAATAATAATAATAATAATAATAATAATAATAATAATAATAATAATAATAATAATAATAATAATAATAATAATAATAATAATAATAATAATAATAATAATAATAATAATAATAATAATAATAATAATAATAATAATAATAATAATAATAATAATAATAATAATAATAATAATAATAATAATAATAATAATAATAATAATAATAATAATAATAATAATAATAATAATAATAATAATAATAATAATAATAATAATAATAATAATAATAATAATAATAATAATAATAATAATAATAATAATAATAATAATAATAATAATAATAATAATAATAATAATAATAATAATAATAATAATAATAATAATAATAATAATAATAATAATAATAATAATAATAATAATAATAATAATAATAATAATAATAATAATAATAATAATAATAATAATAATAATAATAATAATAATAATAATAATAATAATAATAATAATAATAATAATAATAATAATAATAATAATAATAATAATAATAATAATAATAATAATAATAATAATAATAATAATAATAATAATAATAATAATAATAATAATAATAATAATAATAATAATAATAATAATAATAATAATAATAATAATAATAATAATAATAATAATAATAATAATAATAATAATAATAATAATAATAATAATAATAATAATAATAATAATAATAATAATAATAATAATAATAATAATAATAATAATAATAATAATAATAATAATAATAATAATAATAATAATAATAATAATAATAATAATAATAATAATAATAATGGGTACAGTTTTAGCACCTTAGGCTTTACAACCTTGGGGGAGATTGGAGTAGAGGCTGTTTTGTTTCTTAAGCGTGTCAAGAATCACATTTCTAGACATGATGCTACTTTAAAAGTTGGCAATTTTCTTTTTATTAGGATAGGCTTAGCTATTCAGAAAGGTGTTGGAGCTCAACTTGTTGCGAGGCTCCCTACTTGTCATTTGTAATCTTCGACTTTCCCTATCCTAATAATAATAATAATGATGATGATGATGATGATGATGATGATGATGATGATGATGATGATGATGATGATGATGATGATGATGATGATGATGATGATGATGATGATGATGATGATGATGATGATGATGATGATGATGATGATGATGATGATGATGATGATGATGATGATGATGATGATGATGATGATGATGATGATGATGATGATGATGATGATGATGATGATGATGATGATGATGATGATGATGATGATGATGATGATGATGATGATGATGATGATGATGATGATGATGATGATGATGATGATGATGATGATGATGATGATGATGATGATGATGATGATGATGATGATGATGATGATGATGATGATGATGATGATGATGATGATGATGATGATGATGATGATGATGATGATGATGATGATGATGATGATGATGATGATGATGATGATGATGATGATAATAATAATAATAATAATAATAATAATAATAATAATAATAATAATAATAATAATAATAATAATAATAATAATAATAATAATAATAATAATAATAATAATAATAATAATAATAATAATAATAATAATAATAATAGTAATAGTAGTAGTAGTAGTAGTAGTAGTAGTAATAATATTACCTAATATGATATTCATATGTGAATTTGTCATTCAAGCAATACTGTGATATTTTCTACTGTATGAACAATATTTTTAAAAGATGATATCACTCACCTCAGAAAATACTATTTCAAAGAAGACGATAATGTGTATAATGTATATATGTGATTTTTCCATCATTGGCATTATTTCAACATTGGCATTATTTTAACGTGATGAAAAATCAGACTAGAAAATAATAATAATTGAATTGACATATTTATCTAGTTACCAAAAAACTTAAAGTATTTTTCTAACTATATTTACCACATATGCAGGAATTAATCCGCGTTCTAACATTTCTAGTGCACATAGGTACTAAACAAATAAACATACTATTTCCGTCCCATGAGCTGACAAATTAGTTAAAGCAAAAATATGAAATTTTAAATAAACATATTATTTTTATCCACTATTCTCTGTGGCTATATATTATGATTATTTCTTTATTTAATATTGAATATATAATCAGTATGGAGTTTGGAAAGTAGAAACGTCACTTAATAATTAATAATCTTCAGATTTGTTTAAATTTTATATATGCAATATTATTGTCATATGAAGTATCATAAAAAAATATGAATTTTGATATTTATTTTTGTAA